TGTGATGTAATGGATAGTGGTTCGGGTTGAGGAATCGATTTCGAATCCAGTCGAATTTATTACATTCATTTACGTGCTAATACCCCTTGGGAAAGGTATGAATCCTCTTCTTCTCCCCAAATAGCAGGACAGATCGGGTTCTATAGCCTTGGATAGCAACTGGTATATCTCAGATAGAAATGGCAACCTACTGCGGGGAAAATCTGCCTCATCAGTCATGTATCGAAAGATACATGATCACCTAAGCGTGTATTACGCATGGTACATAACTGACTGAATTAAAAAAAAAGAAGATAGAAGGGTTAAATTTATGAGGATAAGGAGGATAGAAAAAGATTGTAGTGCTCCACGGGGAATCTTCTTTCATAAAGTAGCGGTTCTTGGGACAAAAAAAGCTGTCTGAGTGGAACCATCAGCATAGAGGAAATGAGAGTGGTGCGACTTTACGGAATTAGCATAAACGCGTCCTATTTACTTCAGACGTCAATTGGAACTTATAGACATAATCCATTGCTAACGATTTTGGAAGTATAGTCGGCTAATTCTATCGATCCAGGAAGTACTCGATTTTTTTCTGCTATGCTTTATCTTTACAAGAGGCAGATTAGACCAAAAATGGAATATTGCTGCCATATCTGGATTGGAGATGATTAATCCTCACTTTCCAGCCTTGACATAATTCAAACTTGTTCTCACATTCTTGCCAGGTATGATTTATTCTATACTTTTCACCCTCTTTCCGATGGCTAATCTATCGCTATTTATATATGACAGATGTTCAGATGAGTTTCAATCTTTAGTTCCAACAGCTCACACTTTTACAGCTAGGACATGTTTATGATACTTTCCTCCATATTCCAAATATAAACAAATGGTCTCGCTTGTGGAGGACTCCTTGGGCTTGTGGAGGACTCCTTGAGCTCGTGGAGGACTCCTTGAACACTACAGACTTGACCTCTTCAAGTCAAAAGTCAATCTTTTTCTATCCTCGTTATCCTCATAATATTCACTGCCTTCTTTTTGTAAAAACCTGAAGAGCACATTTCAAAGAATTCGTTGGTTTTATATTTATATAAACAACAATGCACCTCTTTGAGAAACGAGACAGCTCTGTCACCAGTTGGGTAACTCTGCGAGAGAAAATTATTCTCGAAAACGATTATCATTGAATTCACTGCCTCCCTCGAAGACAACTAAGACTTTTGTGTTTTATGCGAAAAAGGGGAGATATTCATTTTTTATTCAGAACTTGTTTTCTTTTCGTTTTTTTTACTCATATGCAAGTAAGTTTGATTTGTTTCTTTGTTTTTTTAGGGTTATCAACATTTTGCAGATTATTTAAAGCACCCCAAATTTTTAGATTGTTACTGTTATGAGACCTTACCCATGAGAACATAATGGACTATTCCATACGTAATAAATACTGCGCCTCAAGAGGAAGCAGGGAGTTCAGTCTGAAGTCAGGCGACCGGCTGATCGGTTGAACTCTCTGCCCTCGGGCGGGGAGGAACCCGAACGAGGCTACGCCAAAGGGCGGAGTCTCTTTCGGGGATGTAAACCGACCCTGAACCCGTTTATACAGGTTCAAAGGGCAGATTTTTGGCCGAGCCCACAGGCTCGGAGATCCCACGTTAAACCGGCCTTTTGCCACATGATGTCCTCGTGGGAGGGTGACTAAATACTGTTCCGTCTGAAGTCTAGAGTTCAGTCTGAAGTCTGGAGTGAGGTCCGTCAGGAGTCTGTCAGTCAGTCAGTGCGAGTCAGTCAGTCGAGTCAGGGGCAGTCCGAAACAGAGTCGTGTTCAGACAATTACTACTAAACCTGATTGTTCGTACTAACACTTTTCTACTTCTCTGTATATATTCCTGTTTGTAATATATCTGTGTTATTCCATATCCGCCTTCGAGTTCTTCTTTATTGGTTCTACCTTGGACTATCACTGTGGTACAAAGAACCGGACCATAACAGTTACAATAGTGGATACTTCGTATTTGAAAGAGACGTCCCATTTTTTATTATCTATTAAACAGTCAGCGTTACATCTATAGCCCTGTACATTTGAGAAATGTTAGTAAAGAAAATGTGTTCTTCGACAGAGATCGAAAATGCGCGCCACTTTGTAGGGGAACCGCTTTTTTATCATCCACGAAGAATGTCATTGCTAGTTTTTATTTTCCCTTTTTAAGAAAGCACATCCTCTTCATTGAGGTTATTTCTTCGAAAGCTTCTATTTTGCTCAGTTTTGTTCTTCTGTAGTCAACGTTTCTTTCAATAAGAAAATCATCAGAACTATTGAAACAAAAAAATAAAATGAAAGAAAAAGCTTTAACATAGTATTAGGTTGGTGCAAAAATAATGACGTAATGATGTCGTTTTTTGACGTTAAAAAATACGTCCAAAAACGACATCATTACATCATTATTTTTGCACCAACCTAATAACATTGCTACTTAGAAATATGGTGGTTAATTTTAATTTATTTAAAATATTTAACAGTTAATAAAATTAATGTTGAGAAAGTAATGTCCTTCCGGTTATAAACCGGCAGAAGTTGACAACTTCTTATTTAAAACTTTATATATACCTCCAATCGTATATAATGATTTTAGTAATGGAGCAAAAACAAAAACAAAAATAAACAGGAATTATTGGCTCGGCATGTCAAAGCTGTAACGAAAGAAACGCAGGTGTAGGCTTTAAGAAATCTTTATTCAACTGTGAATACAAGGTTCGCGTATAGTGTCCTTTTATAGTCTCAGTAAACAGAAATAACTCTCTCAAAGAAGAGAGTAATAAAACAAGAGGAGACCACTATTGATTATTCAATAACAATAGCATTGACGTATGTTGTCTGCAAGTAATCAAAATCAAACAAGGGGTTGCTAGTAATATTAGAAAACACTTGTTAATAGCTTTGGAAACAGACAGTAAATATGGAATTTTGTCATCAATACCAAATGGAAGAATGGGATTCATAGGCAATGGACAAACGACCATAGCAAAGAAATTGGAAGAACGATATAAAACAATATTTCATTGTTCTCTGTACAAACTTTGAAGAGCTTGGAAGACCTGAAGGACTTTCACGAGAAAATGACAGATATTTTTGTGGAGGACTGATACGAGATATTTACAAAGTTTCTAAAGGTGAAAAATCACGCAGATTCTCAGTCGAAAAATCTGTGATGATAATGATGATGATGTTGATGATGATGACTATCGTGATAATGATGAGGAAATATTTCAAGTAAATATTTGTGAATAAATTAAATAACTGTCAACAAATCAATGAGATTAGCACAGGAAAATGCTAAAATAAATGTGAAATATAGTGATTTGCTTTCAGAAAACACAAAAAGAAAAAAGTGTTATGGTAATAAAAATAATTGTAGTATATCTAATGAGAGTAGGAAATACATATAATTTAAATTATAATTTATGCTAATATTATCTAGGTGGAAAGGAAAATATAGAATGAAATTAAAATAATATTTTATGATGAAATTTTATTAAGGTGTTTAAGCAGTATCCATTTTAGTATTACTTTCTTTAAATATTATCTTTGCCAGAGAAGGTGATATGTTGTAAAAAAAACCCTGTTTTTTTATGAATCATATTGATCCGTGATTCAATAATTCCTCTAGAAAATTTATGTTGGATAAATGTAACCATTTTGGCGTTTTGAAAATCGAAAGAAGGATTTCTATGTTGCATGTGGGAGAATAAAGGCGATAATGTTTCCCCGATTTTTTAGGCTCTTATGCATAGATACGTTCTTTGTTTTTTCATCAACAGTGTCGGTCTTTTTTATAAACCTTGTTTATACTGTCTATTTATAGACCCGATAGATGTTTATACCGTCTTTTTATAGACCTGATAAGTGTTTGCACAGTCTTTTTATAGAACGGATATGTGTTTATACAGTCTATTTATAAACCTGATGGGTGTGGATACAGTCTTTTTATAGGCCTGCTAGTTGTTTATACCGTCTTTTTATAAACCGGATTGGTGTTTTCACAGTTTTTTTATAGGTCTGATAGGTGTATCAGTACTTTTAGGGATCTGATAAATGTTTATACTGTCTTTTTATAGATCTGATAAGTGTTTATACTGTCTTTTTATAGATCTGATAAGTGTTTATACAGTCTTTTTAGAGACCTGATAGATTTTTATATCGTCTTTTTTATAGGCCTGATAGTTGTTTAAACCGTCTCTTTATAGACCTGATATGTGTTTACACAGTCTTATTTTATAGATCCGACGGGTGCTCATACAATCTATTTATAAACCTGATAGGTGTTTATACCGTCCTTTTTAAACCGTATAGGCATTTATACAGACTATTTATAAACCGTATAGGTGTTTGTACAGTCTATTTATAAACTTGATATGTATTTATGCAGCCTATTTATATACCTGATAGATGTTTTAACGTCTGTTTATAGATATGAGAGTCATTTAATTCTATAGAGTCTGTTTTTTTATTAGCCTGTTAAACTAAGCATTACAACGAAAAAAAAAATGAATAAAATTTAAGCAGAAGTAACCGAATTAAAAAGAAAGGAAATAAATATGAAAATTTTAGGTTGAATAAAAGAAAAGAAAAACACAGGAAATAAATCTGTATATAAGATATGCCAAGGACAAGTGGAACAACATCAGCAAACGATATCGAAAGAATGGAAGATGAGAATTTGCAAATTTAGGTTATTCGGAAAGAGCGAAGAAGGAATCTAGTTGACAGATTGAATGTCAATTCGATGGCATGAAGCAAGAGAATAATTGTATTTACAAATTTACATTTTTTTTGTTTTGTTTTTAATCGTTACCCTCCATCTTTATTTTTGCTGTTTTTTTTTGCTTTTAAATGAGCTTATAAATTTTAATTCAGCTTAAATAATGCATCTCAGATTACATTCTATAATAATCTTTACAACTGCATGCGCGTCATATCTGAGTTCACGCGGTGCACATTTTTCTTTGTTTTTTTTTCAGCCTAGATTTCTTTCAACGATGACGTTTTCAATTCTCTTTTGAATCATAGCAGCGCTTTTAATCACATCTGGAACATCTTTCTCCTCTCCCCGTTCACCAACACGTTTCTTTCTTTCTTTCTTTCTTCTTCTTCTTCTTCTTCTTCTTCTTCTTCTTCTTCTTCTTCTTCACTTATAACTAGTCTGGTACAAGGTTATAATAGCGGTGCACTGATTGTAGTTTGAATTCGATAACAATTGCTTTATCCACGATTATCAGATATGATATTCTTACTTGGGTGGGATAAGCAGTTATATTATTTTTGTGATGTCAACGAATACTCGTTGCCACTTTCGTAATGCTCGTTGTAGTAGAGACTTTGTAATCGCAGTTACAACTATAATACGCTGTTGAACAATACTGGTGTCAGACGCCTCCGAATAGCACTCACACTAATAGTACTTGCTCGATAACACTCGCTCAAATAGTAATCAGTATAATGATCTGAATAGAGTAATAGTATAGTGAATAGAGTAGAGAATAGCGGTCTGTATAGTAATAGAAGATAGACTAGAAATGATGATCCGAATAGTAATAGAGTAGAAACAGAGATCGTTACTCGTCAGCTATTTCGTACATATATACGTTTCATCTATGGTCACGTGGTCTACTTAATTCAATAATGGGATCGCCTGTATTTGCTCACTGGTTCAAACTCAAGTGTCGGCAGCGACACTTTATTCCTATATAACAATTATTATTATTATTATTGTTTTTTTTCATTTATTTATTCATTTTTTATCATTTCACCCCAAGCAATGCAACAAAGCCACTAAGACGTACGCGGTTATTTAGTGCGGTTACTTATGCATGTTGTTTGTTTTTGATTTTGTCAACTATAGTAGGGCCAGTTGGGCACCGTATTTGAGAAAAAAAAAAGAAGCACCATGACGCAATTCACTCCGCCAGAAATTCCGACCCCTCAAATTATCACCCTATTAGTCTCTTACCTCTTTTCGGCAAAGACCCCAATCAATTAATTGGCTAAGCATTTTACATCACACAACCTCCATTTGGACAAACAATATGGTTTTCCCTTTCGTCAGGTCTACCGCTGACGTGTTAACGGTCATCTCTAAAATTATCTATCAAACTTCAGATAAGAATGACAAAGATCAGCGTTTGGCAGGGTTTGGCATGCTGGCCTTCTACGCAAGCTCAAGGGCTACAGTGTCATGGAACATATGTTTGGCTTAATCCAATCGTTTTTACCCACTCGAGTAACGAAGATCGTATTGAAGGTGCATGCTTTCAAATCATTTCATGCTAACTTCATTATATATATGAATTACTATATATAGTAATTCATCGGGTCAAGAAGAATCCTCAACAGAATGCAGAAAGCACTTGATGGCTATTTGGGACTCATCAGCAGTACTCATCCATTACCTAGAATCGAACCCGGACCGTTTTGATACAACGCAGGCGTCATGCCAACTGTACCAACGGTGACGACGAAGAAACTGAATAGACTCGATATAGTGCCGCTACTCACAAATTTTGTGGTGATACTCATCCGAGTATTCATAACCCAACGGGTTGTGACCCAAGAGCAACGTGTTTCCTTTCCATTTAGCCGCTCCATCGCAGAGCATTAGATGGGTCAAGCAATGATATACAATTGAAGAATTTTGAGGAATTAGAATAATCATATAGCAATTCAGCGAGTTTAGAAGAATCTTCAACAGAATGCAGAAAGCACTGGACGGCCGTTTTGTCCTATTAAGTAATTAGTAGATAGCGATTGACATTGCATTTAAATTTTTGATGATTAAAGTTGACTGGAACGCATGGAGCCGGAAGTGTGCTTCACAAGCGAGAAGTACGAGGAAGGAAACTTAGCATAGAAATTACGGTTACAACTAGCCAACTCAATAGTATATCGATGAGATCTTGCAGCCAATCTAGTGCTGTGCTTAAATTCATAAAGTCCAGGTGCCACACTGAAGAGTTTATCCGAACAATTTCCATTAAAATATTTATAGAAAGGTCGCCGGAAGCAACTTTACGGCGGTGGGAAAGTTTTGTAATGTCACCGAATATTCGTTGTCATTTTCGTAACGCTCGTTGTAGTAGAGACTTTGTAATCTCAGATACAACTTTAGTAATGCCGTTGAACAACGCTGTTGTCAGACACCTTCAAATATCACTCGTACTAATAGTACTTTCCCGATAGTACTCGCTCGAATAGTAATCCGTATAGTGAGCCGAATAGGGAAATAGTATAGTGAATAGAGTAGAGAATAGAGGTCCGTATTGTAATAGAGGATAGAATAGAAATGGCGATCCGTATAGTTATAAAGGAGAGACTAGGAATAGCAATCGTTAGTCGTCAGCTGCTTCCTAGATATATGCGTTTCCTCTATGGTCACGTGATCCAATTAATTCAATAATGAGATCGCTTATGTTTGCTCACTTGCGATCTATGTTCAAACTCAAGTGTCGGCAGCGACATTTTATTCCTATATAACAGATAGCGACTCAAGCCCCGGCACAAGGTCAGGACCAATAATATCGCTAATTCTTTGGATTTTATCAAGGATCTGTATATAGCAGGAGCACTGGACCATATATGGCAGCAATATTCTAAGCATGGTCGAATGGTAGATATATATCTGCCATTGATATCATATGTTGCAATTTAGACTTGCAATGATAAGTGGTGACAGTCATACTCGACAACGAGGTAGAAGCCATCATACATTTGTTTACTTTTTCTCTCCGATATCGACTTCACTGAATGGGTGGGGGAGATCAAACAGCTTGGTGACCGTATTTCTAAGCAGGTCCTCCCTGGGGAATATGTTTGTTTTCGCTTACTTCACACTTCATGTGATGCACTGTTTAAAATTGACCATCGAAACTGAGAAATGGAGGTGCGTAATAAATTTTTTCTTTAATCATTTCGCCCCATTCAAGGCAACAAAGCCACTAAAGCACAAGAGGCTACCGAGTGTGAAAGAATACGAAAAAAGAGAGACATTATTAAGGAACGAGAACAATAGAAGAGTAAAAAAAAACAAAACAAAAAAACAAAAAAAAAAACAGTAGGTAACAATTGACATTGCATTAAAATTTTTGTTGATCAAATTTGGCTGGAAAGCAAGAAGCCGGAGGAGAGTTACAAACAAGAAGTATGAAAAAAGAAACAGTTAGCATAGAACTTACGGTTATATATAGCCAACGCAAATGTATAACGATCAGGTCAGAAGAGAGATCAGTCGTTAATCTCTGACCATCGACAGTTTTAAAGTTGTGCCCATATATAGACATAGCAGCGGCATAGATGTTTACAAAGGATCTAAGTATATTCTGAGGCAAATCATTTATGTAGAATAAAAAGAGGGTTGGTCTGAGGAGTGACCCTTGGTGGACGTCTGCGTTGCCCGCTAGGGCTTGTCATTAATAACTACCTTCAGAGACCTAGCTGTTAGGAAGGATTTTATGATCGAGAAGACCCTTCCAGTGATTCCATAACTGGAGAACTTGTGTAGCAACCCTTTGCGCCACACATTGTCAAAGACCATTGATATATCTAATGCTATAGTCCTCGGGGTGTGTTTACCGTCAAAAGCCTCACCGATTCTCCGAGTGATGGTAGTTAGAAGGTCTTGTCCTGCGCTTATATTTAGGTCTAGGTACCATAGCGAAGAGGTCATCCGAACAATTACCATGACAGTATTATTTTCCAACGCGGTGGTAGTTATCATATATGGATGCTTGTATATATGTGAAATTTTATTGAAAAAAAAAAGCAATGTCCCTTTCCGTTTTGCAGGGCGAAAGAGACTAGGATTCATGTCTTCCATCTCACGAACGATTTGCGGAGAACTAATCACTGTTACTTGAAGAAAGTGTTAATATTTCTTTTAAAAAAGGATCGGGGTACAAACCCGACGTGAAAAGGAAATTGCCTTCTAGGATTAAGGCACACCGAACTGCCTAGCGATTTGCCCACATCTAGTGGCTGCAGGGTGACATGTGTGTATGTTTTTCCCAAATACGGATTGAACGCAAAGTATCCCTGCCAGATTTTGAACTTAGTTCGCCGATTTCATTCTCCGGTCGGCTAATCGTTCGGCCAGCTGCAACTCCGAAATGTCCTGGAGTGCACGAAAACACGCTACACACACACACACACACACACACACACACACACACACACACACACACACACACACACACACACACACACACACACACACACACACACACACACACACACACACACACACACACACACACACACACACACACACACACAGAGTGAATGAGAGGGAGAGAGAGAAACACACACATATATGTATGTATATAAATAATCTGTTTCTGTTTTTTTCTCGCTCATATATGTGTGTGTATCTGTGTGTGTGTGTGTTGGTATTACTGTATGTCTATTTATACACTGGAGGGATTTTTTACCCTCTTTGAATCAGAAAATTCCTTGGGCGATATTGTCTATCAAAAAAAAAAAAGAAAAAAAAAAAGACCAAATTAAGTAAGATAAAAAGTGTATTTGTTTTCCCGCGCTGAGGTCAGCCGGCAAAAATCCGAATAAAGTGGTTGTGGAATTAGAGCGAAGAAAATGGCTACCCACAATCTTGTCATAGTTAACTCGGATAATAGTTTTATAGTGCACGAGGCTGGCGGGATAGTTGAGATAGAAGTGAGAGAGAGAGAGAATAAGAGTAGCAACAGAGGAAAGAAAGAGTGTAAGACCAGAGTAGATAAAGAGAGTAGACAGTGAGTAGCGAAAGAGATTAAGAACAGAGTAGAGAAAGAGAGAAGGAATAGAGTAGAGAAAGAGAGTAAGAAGATAGTAGAGAGGGTAGGAAGTGAGCAATAAGAACAGCATAGAGAGAATAGAGAAAGAGAGTAAGTCCATTGTATAGAAAGAGAGTAGAAACAGTGTAGAGAAAGAGAGAAGGAAGAGAGAGAAAGAGAGTAGGAAGATAGTAGAGAGGTAGGAAGTGAGCAATAAGAACAGCATAGAGAGAATAGAGAAAGAGAGTAAGTCCATTGAATAGACAGAGAGAGAAACAGTGTAGAGAAAAAGAGAAGGAAGAGAGTAGAGAAAGAGAGTAAGAAGATAGTTGAGAGGGTAGGAAGTGAGCAATAAGAACAGCATAGAGAGAATAGAGAAAGAGAGTAAGTCCATTGTATAGAAAGAGAGTAGAAACAGTGTAGAGAAAGAGAGAAGGAAGAGAGTAGAGAAAGAGAGTAAGAAGATAGTAGAGAGGGTAGGAAGTGAGCAATAAGAACAGCATAGAGAGAATAGAGAAAGAGAGTAAGGCCATTGTATAGACAGAGAGTAGAAACTGTACAGAAAGAGAGAAGGAAGAGAGTAGAGAAAGAGAGTAAGAAGATAGTAGAGAGGGTAGGAAGTGAGCAATAAGAACAGCATAGAGAGAATAGAGAAAGAGAGTAAGGCCATTGAATAGAAAGAGAGTAGAAACGGTGTAGCGAAAGAGAGAAGGAAGAGAGTAGAGAAAGAGAGTAAGAAGATAGTAGAGAGGGTAGGAAGTGAGCAATAAGAACAGCATAGAGAGAATAGAGAAAGAGAGTAAGTCCATTGAATAGACAGAGAGTAGAAACAGTGTAGAGAAAGAGAGAAGGAAGAGAGTAGAGAAAGAGAGTAAGAAGATAGTAGAGAGGGTAGGAAGTGAGCAATAAGAACAGCATAGAGAGAATAGAGAAAGAGAGTAAGTCCATTGTATAGAAAGAGAGTAGAAACAGTGTAGAGAAAGAGAGAAGGAAGAGAGTAGAGAAAGAGAGTAAGAAGATAGTAGAGAGGGTAGGAAGTGAGCAATAAGAACAGCATAGAGAGAATAGAGAAAGAGAGTAAGGCCATTGAATAGAAAGTGAGTAGAAACGGTGTAGCGAAAGAGAGAAGGAAGAGAGTAGAGAAAGAGAGTAGGAAGATAGTAGAGAGGGTAGGAAGTGAGCAATAAGAACAGCATAGAGAGAATAGAGAAAGAGGCTAAGTCCATTGAATAGACAGAGAGTAGAAACAGTGTAGAGAAAGAGAGAAGGAAGAGAGTAGAGAAAGAGAGTAAGAAGATAGTAGAGAGGGTAGGAAGTGAGCAATAAGAACAGCATAGAGAGAATAGAGAAAGAGAGTAAGGCCATTGAATAGAAAGAGAGTAGAAACAGTGTAGAGAAAGAGAGAAGGAAGAGTAGAAAGAGAGTAAGAAGATAGTAGAGAAGGAAGAGAAGGAAGAGAGAATAGAGAAAGAGAGTAAGGAAGAATAGAAAGAGAGAAAGGGTAGGAAAGAGAGAAGGAAGAAGTAAGAAAAGAGTAAGAAGATAGAGAGATAGGAAGTGAGCATTAAAAAAGCATAGAGAGAATAGAGAAAAGAGAGTAAGAAAGAGCAGGCCATTGAATAGAAAGAGAGAAGAATGGTGTAGAAGAAAGAGAGAAGGAAGAGAGTAGAGAAAAGAGAGTAAGAAGATAGTAGAGAGGGTAGGAAGTGAGCAAAGAGAAAACAGCATAGAAAGAGAATAGAGAAAGAGAGGTAAGGCCATTGAATAGAAAGAGAGTAGAAAAGGGACTAAAAAGGACAGAGAGAAGGAAGAGAGAGAAAAGAGAGTAAGAAGATAGAGAGAAGGAAGAGCAATAAGAAAGCATAGAGAGAATAGAGAAAGAGGTAGGTCCATTGTATAGAAAGAATAGAAACAGTGTAGAGAAAGAGAGAAGGAAGAATAGAGAAAGAGAGTAAGAAGATAGTAGAGAGGGTAGGAAGTGAGCAATAAGAACAGCATAGAGAGAATAGAGAAAGAGAAAAAGGCCATTGTATAGACAGAGAGTAGAACAGTGTAGAGAAAGAGAAGGAAAAGAGAGAGAAAGAGAAGATAGTAGAGAGGGTAGGAAGTGAGCAATAAGAACAGCATAGAGAGAATAGAGAAAGAGAGTAGGTCCATTGTATAGAAAGAGAGTAGAAACAGTGTAGAGAAAGAGAGAAGGAAGAGAGTAGAGAAAGAGAGTAAGAAGATAGTAGAGAGGGTAGGAAGTGAGCAATAAGAACAGCATAGAGAGAATAGAGAAAGAGAGTAAGTCCATTGTATAGAAAGAGAGTAGAAACAGTGTAGAGAAAGAGAGAAGGGAGAGTAGAGAAAGAGTGTAAGAAGATAGTAGAGAGGGTAGGAAGTGAGCAATAAGAACAGCATAGAGAGAATAGAGAAAGAGAGTAAGTCCATTGAATAGAAAGAGAGTAGAAACAGTGTAGAGAAAAGAGAAGGAAGAGAGAGAGAAAGAGAGTAAGAAGATAGTAGAGAGGGTAGGAAGTGAGCAATAAGAACAGCATAGAGAGAATAGTCCATTGAAAGAGAGTGTAGAAAGAGAGAAGGAAGAAGTCCATTGAAAATAAAGAGAGGGAGAGTGAGCAATAAAACAGCAGAGAATAGAGAAAGAGAGAAGAAAGAAGAGAGCAGAAAGAGAAAGAGAGTAAGAAAAGATAGTAGAGGAGGTAGGAAGTGAGCAATAAGAACAGCATAGAGAGAATAGAGAAAGAGAGTAAGGCCATTGAATAGAAAGAGAGTAGAAAAGTGTAGAGAAAGAGAGAAGGAAGAGAGTAAGAGAAAGAGAGTAAGAAGATAGTAGAGAGGGTAGGAAGTGAGCAATAAGAACAGCATAGAGAGAATAAGAAGAAAGAGAGTACTGAAAAAGGCCATTGAATAAAAAGAGAGAGAAACAGTGTAGAGAAAGAGAGAAGGAAGAGAGAGAAGAAAGAAAGAGAGCAAAGAAGATAGTAGAGAGGGTAGGAAGTGAGCACTAAGAACAGCATAGAGAGAATAGAGAAAGAGAGTAAGGCCATTGAAATAGACAGAGTAGAAACAGGTACAGAGAAAGAGAAAAGGAAGAGAGTAGAAAATAAGAAAAGAGAGCGTTCAAGAAGGAAGAAAATGTTGAGTGTAGTAGAGAGGGAAAGAGAAAGAGGAATTCAAAGGGACTGAAAAGTTAGAAAGAACAGAAATAAAAGAGAATAGAGAAAGATAGTAAGGCCAATTGTATAGAAAGAGAATAGAGAAAGAGAGTCAAGTCCATTAGAGAAAGAGAGAAGGAAGAAAGAGAGAGAGGAAGAGATGTTAAGAAGATAGTAGAGAGGGTAGGAAGTGAGCAATAAGAACAGCATAGAGAGAATAGAGAAAGATAGTAAGGCCATTAAAAGAACAGATTCAAGGGAAAAAATGTTAGAGAAAAAGAGCAATAAAAGACAACATTCAAGGGACTGAAAAGTTAGTAGAGAGGGACAATAAAGAACATTCAAGGAGAAAAGAGAGAATAAAACAGCAATAAAAGAAACAGCATTCAAGGGACTGAAAATGTTGATTGTAGAAACAGCAATAAAAGAACAGAATTAAAGAAAACTGTAGAAAAAATAAAAGAATAGAGTTTAGAAAGGGACTGAAAATTGAAAACTAAAACAGGGAAAGGGACTGAAAAATGTAGAAAGAGCAATAAAGAACAAGAGAAGGGAGAAAAATAGTAGAAAAAATAAAACACAACATTCAAACTGAAGGACTGAAAATGTTATTGCAGAAAGAACAATAAAAGAGAATTCAAGGGGACTGAAAAATGTCCATTGTATAGAAAAGAACAATAAAACAGCATTCATTCAAAGGGGACTGAAAAATGTTATTGTGTAGAAACAGCAATAAAGAACAGCATTCAAGGGGACTGAAAAAAGAGAAGTAGAAAGATAAGAAAGAAGAGCAAAATTCAAGGGGAAACTGAAAAAAGAACAGCATTAGAGAGAATAGAGAAAGACTGTAGAAAGAGAATAAAAGAACAGCGTTCAAAGGGACTGAAAATGTTATTGTGTAGAAAGAGCAATAAAAGAACAGCATTCAAGGGGACTGAAAATGTTATTGTGTAGAAAAACAATAAAAACAGCAATAAAAGTATAAAAAACAACATTCAAAGGGGACTGAAAATGTTATTGTATAGAAACAGCAATAAGAGAACAGCATTCAAGGGGACTGAAAATGTTATTGTGTAGAAAGAGCAATAAAAGAACAGCATTCAAGGGGACTGAAAATGTTATTGTGTAGAAAGAGCAATAAAAGAACAGCATTCAAGGGGACTGAAAAAATTGTCATTAGCATTCAAAGGGACTGAAAATGTTATTAGTAGAAGAGCAATAAAAGAACAGCGTTCAAGGGGACTGAAAATGTTATTGTGTAGAAAGAGCAATAAAAGAACAGCATTCAAGGGACTGAAAATGTTATTGTGTAGAAACAGCAATAAAAGAACAGCATTCAAAGGGACTGAAAATGTTATTGAGTAAAAAAGAGCAATAAAAGAACAGCATTCAAGGGGACTGAAAAATGTTATTGTGTAGAAAGAGCAATAAAAAGAACAGCATTCAAGGGACTGAAAAATGTTATTGTGTAGAAAGAGCACTCAAAAAGAAGAGCATTCAAGGGACTGAAAATGTTATTGTGTAGAAAGAGCAATTTAAACAGCATTCAAGGGGACTGAAAATGTTATTGTGTAGAAAGAGCAATAAAAGAACAGCATTCAAGGGACTGAAAATGTTATGTGTAGAAACAGCAATAAAGAACAGCGTTCAAAGGGACTGAAAACGTTGTGTAGAAAGAGCAAAAAAGAAAGCATTCAAGGACAGAAAATGTTATGTAGAAAGAGCAATAAAAAGAACAGCATTCAAAGGGGACTGGTTATTGTGTAGAAACAGCAATAAAAGAACAGCATTCAAGGGGACTGAAAATGTTATTGTGTAGAAAGAGCAATAAAAGAACAGCATTCAAAGGGGACTGAAAAATGTTATTGGGTAGAAAGAGCAATAAAAAGAACAGCGTTCAAGGGGACTGAAAATGTTATTGTGTAGAAAGAGCAATAAAAAAGAACAGCATTCATGGGGACTGAAAAATTGTGTAGAAAGAGCAATAAAAATTGAGGGACTGAAAAAAGAAAAAGCAAGATTCAAAGGGGACTGAAAATGTTATTGTGTAAAAGAGCAATAAAAAGAACAGCATTCAAGGGGACTGAAAATGTTATTGTGTAGAAAGAGCAATAAAAGAACAGCATTCAAGGGGACTGAAAATGTTATTGTGTAGAAAAGCAAGAAAAAATTTTATTGAAAATAAAAAGAACAGCATTCAAAGGACTGAAATTCAGCAATAAAAGAACAGCATTCAAAGGGACTGAAAATGTTATTGTGTAGAAACAGCAATAAAAAGAACAGCATTCAAGGGGACTGAAAATGTTATTGTGTAGAAAAAGAGCAATAAAAGAACAGCATTCAAAGGGGACTGAAAATGTAGATTGTGTAGAAAGAGCAATAAAAGAACAGCATTCAAAGGGACTGAAAATGTTATTGCGTAGAAAGAGCAATAAAAGAACAGCATTCAAGGGGACTGAAAAATGTTATTGTGTAGAAAGAGCAATAAAAGAACATTCAAGGGACTGAAAATGTTATTGTGTAAAAGAGCAATAAAAGAACAGCATTCAAAGGGACTGAAAATGTTATTGTGTAGAAACAACAATAAAAGAACAGCATTCAAAGGGGACTGAAAATGTTCAATGTAGGGAACATTGAAATAAAAAAAGCAGCGTTCAAGGGACTGAAAATGTTATTGTGTAGAAACAGCAATAAAAGAACAGCATTCAAGGGGACTGAAAATGTTATTGTGTAGAAAGAGCAATAAAAACAGCATTCAAGGGGACTGAAAAATGTAGAAACAACAATAAAAAAACAGGTTCAAAGGGACTGAAAATGTGTAGAAAAAAGAACAATTCAAGGGACTGAAAAAAGAAAGAGCAATAAAAAGAACAGCATTCAAGGGACTGAAAATGTTATTGTGTAGAAAGAGCAATAAAAGAACAGCATTCAAAGGGGACTGAAAATGTTATTGTGTAGAAACAGCAATAAAAGAACAGCATTCAAGGGGACTGAAAATGTTATTGTGTAGAAAGAACAATAAAAGAACAGCATTCAAAGGGGACTGAAAATGTTATTGTGTAGAAAAAGCAATAAAAAACAGCAAAAGAAAAGTTATTCAATGGGACTGAAATGTTATTCAAGGGGACTGTAGAAAGAGCAACAAAAAGAACAGCATTCAAAAGGGACTGAAAATGTTATTGTGTAGAAAGAGCAATAAAAGAACAGCATTCAAGGGGACTGAAAAATGTTATTGTAGAAAGGGGAGCAATAAAAGAACAGCATTCAAGGGACTGAAAATGTTATTGTGTAGAAAGAGCAATAAAAGAACAGCATTCAAGGGACTGAAAACAATAAAAGAACAGCATTCAAAGGGACTGTAGAAAGAGCAATAAAAGAACAGCATTCAAAGGGACTGAAAATGTTATTGTGTAGAAAACAGCAATAAAAAGAACAGCATTCAAAGGGACTGAAAATGTTATTGTGTAGAAACAGCAATAAAAAGAACAGCATTCAATGGGACTGAAAATGTTATTGTGTAGAAAGAGCAATAAAAAAAGAGCATTCAAGGGGACTGAAAATGATATTGCGTAGAAAGAGCAATAAAAGAACAGCATTCAAGGGGACTGAAAATGTTATTGTGTAGAAACAGCAATAAAAGAACAGCATTCAAGGGGACTGAAAATGTTATTGAGTAGAAAGAGCAATAAAAGAACAGCATTCAAGGGGACTGAAAATGTTATTGAGTAGAAAGAGCAATAAAAGAACAGCATTCAAGGGGACTGAAAATGTTATTGAGTAGAAAGAGCAATAAAAGAACAGCATTCAAGGGGACTGAAAATGTTATTGAGTAGAAAGAGCAATAAAAGAACAGCATTCAAGGGGACTGAAAATGTTATTGTGTAGAAACAGCAATAAAAGAACAGCATTCAAGGGGACTGAAAATGTTATGTGTAGAAAAACAGAACAAAAAACTGAAAAGCATGTAGAAAAGGGAACTGAAAATGAAAATGTTATTGTGTAGAAACAGCAATAAAAGAACAGCATTCATGGGGACTGAAAAATGTTATTGTGTAGACTGAAAAACAGCAATAAAAAGAACAGCATTCAAGGGGACTGAAAATGTTATTGTGTAGAAAGAGCAATAAAAGAACAGCATTCAAGGGGGACTGAAAAAATGTTATTGTGTAGAAACAGCAATAAAAGAACAGCATTCAAGGGGACTGAAAATGTTATTGTGTAAAGAAAATTCAGGGACTGAAAAATAGAAAAAGAACAGCATTCAAGGGGACTGAAAATGTTATTGTGTAGAAACAGCAATAAAAGAACAGCATTCAAAGGGACTGAAAAATGTTATTGTGTAGAAAGAGCAATAAAAAACATTCAAGGGACTGAAAAATTGTGTAGAAACAACAATAAAAGAACAGCATTCAAGGGGACTGAAAATGTTATTGTGTAGAAACAGCAATAAAAAGAACAGCATTCAAGGGACTGAAAATGTTATTGTGTAGAAAGAAATAAAAGAACAGCATTCAAAGGACTGAAAATGTTAAGAACAGCATTCAAAGGGGACTGAAAAATGTTATTGTGTAGAAACAGCAAAAAAAGAACAGCATTCAAGGGGACTGAAAATGTTATTGTGTAGAAAACAACAAAAAGAACAGCAGCATTCAAGGGGACTGAAAATGTTATTGTGTAGAAACAACAATAAAAGAACAGCATTCAAGGGACTGAAAATGTTATTGTGAACAGCATTAGAAACAACAAGCAAAAAAGAACAGCATTCAAGGGACTGAAAATGTTATTGTGTAGAAACAACAATAAAAGAACAGCATTCAAGGGACTGAAAATGTTATTGTGTAGAAACAACAATAAAAGAACAGCATTCAAGGGGACTGAAAATGTTATTGTGTAGAAACAACAATAAAAGAACAGCATTCAAGGGACTGAAAATGTTATTGTGTAGAAACAGCAATAAAAGAACAGCATTCAAGGGGACTGAAAATGTTATTGTGTAGAAACAACAATCAAAAAGAACAGCATTCAAGGGGACTGAAAATGTTATTGTGTAGAAACAGCAATAAAAGAACAGCATTCATGGGGACTGAAAATGTTATTGTGTAGAAACAGCAATAAAAGAACAGCATTCAAGGGGACTGAAAATGTTATTGTGTAGAAAGAGCAATAAAAGAACAGCATTCAAGGGGACTGAAAATGTTATTGTGTAGAAACAGCAATAAAAGAACAGCATTCAAGGGGACTGAAAATGTTATTGTGTAGAAACAACAATAAAAGAACAGCATTCATGGGGACTGAAAATGTTATTGTGTAGAAACAGCAATAAAAGAACAGCATTCAAGGGGACTGAAAATGTTATTGTGTAGAAAGAACAATAAAAGAACAGCATTCAAGGGGACTGAAAATGTTCAAGGGACTTGTTGTAGAAACAGCAATAAAAGAACAGCATTCAAGGGGACTGAAAATGTTATTGTGTAGAAACAGCAATAAAAAGAACAGCATTCATGGGGACTGAAAATGTTATTGTGTAGAAACAACAATAAAAGAACAGCATTCATGGGGACTGAAAATGTTATTGTGTAGAAAGAGCAATAAAAGAACAGCATTCAAGGGGACTGAAAATGTTATTGTGTAGAAACAACAATAAAAGAACAGCATTCAAGGGGACTGAAAATGTTATTTGTAGAAACAACAATAAAAGAACAGCATTCAAGGGGACTGAAAATGTTATTGTGTAGAAACTGCAATAAAAGAACAGCATTCAAAGGGACTGAAAATGTTATTGTGTAGAAACAGCAATAAAAGAAGAGCGTTCAAGGGGACTGAAAATGTTATTGTGTAGAAACAGCAATAAAAGAACAGCATTCAAGGGGACTGAAAATGTTATTGTGTAGAAACAGCAATAAAAAAAGAACAGCATTCATTGGGGACTAAAAAAATGTTATTGTGTAGAAACAGCAATAAAAGAACAGCATTCAAGGGGACTGAAAATGTTATTGTGTAGAAACAACAATAAAAGAACAGCATTCAAGGGACTGAAAAAGGGGACTGAGCAAAAATGTTATTGTGTAGAAAGAAGAGCAATAAAAGAACAGCATTCAAGGGGACTGAAAATGTTATTGTGTAGAAACAACAATAAAAAGAACAGCATTCAAGGGGACTGAAAATGTTATTGTGTAGAAACAACAATAAAAGAACAGCATTCAAGGGACTGAAAATGTTATTGTGTAGAAAAACAATAAAAGAACAGCATTCAAGGGGACTGAAAATGTTATTGTGTAGAAACAGCAATAAAAAGAACAGCATTCAAGGGGACTGAAAATGTTATTGTGTAGAAAGAACAATAAAAGAACAGCATTCAAGGGGACTGAAAATGTTATTGTGCAATAAAGAAACAATTCAAGGGACAATAGAAAGAACAGCATTCAAGGGACTGAAAAGGGGTGTAGAAAGAACAATAAAAGAAATGTTCAAGGGACTGAAAATGTTATTGTAGAAACAACAATAAAAGAACAGCATTCAAGGGGACTGAAAATGTTATTGTGTAGAAACAACAATAAAAGAACAGCATTCAAGGGGACTGAAAATGTTATTGTGTAGAAAGAACAATAAAAAAAAGAACAGCATTCAAAGGGACTGAAAATGTTATTGTGTAGAAACAACAATAAAAGAACAGCATTCAAGGGGACTGAAAATGTTATTGCAATAGAAAAGAACAACAAAAAAGAACAGCATTCAAGGGGACTGAAAATGTTATTGTGTAGAAACAGCAATAAAGAACAGCATTCAAGAGGGACTGAAAATGTTATTGTGTAGAAACAACAATAAAAACAGCATTCAAGGGGACTGAAAATGTTGTTGTGTAGAAACAACAATAAAAAACAGCATTCAAAGGGACTGAAAATGTTATTGAAAACAGCAAAAGAAAGAGGGACTGAAAAATTAGTAGAAAAAGAACAGCATTCAGGGGACTGAAAATGTTATTCAAAGGGACTGAAAAACAGCAATAAAAACAGCATTCAAAGGGACTGAAAATGTTATTGTGTAGAAAGAACAATAAAGAACAGCATTCAAGGGGACTGAAAATGTTATTGTGTAGAAAAACAACAAAAAAGAAAGGGACTGAAAATGTTTCAGGGAAACTGAAAAATGTTATTGTGTAGAAACAACAATAAAAGAACAGCATTCAAGGGGACTGAAAATGTTATTGTGTAGAACAACAATAAAAGAACAGCATTCAAGGGACTGAAAATGTGTTGTGTAGAAACAACAATAAAAGAACAGCATTCAAGGGACTGAAAATGTTATTGTGTAGAAACAGCAATAAAAGAACAGCATTCAGGGGACTGAAAAATGTGTAGAAAAGAACAATAAAAACAACATTCAAAGGGACTGAAAATGTTATTGTGAGAAAGAGCAATAAAAAGAACAGCATTCAAGGGACTGAAAATGTTATTGTGTAGAAACAACAATAAAGAACAGCATTCAAGGGGACTGAAAAATGTTATTGGGAATAAAGAACAGCATTCAAGAAAAAATGTTATTGTGTAAACAACAATAAAAGAACAGCATTCAAAGGGACTGAAAAATGTTATTAGTAGAAAGAACAATAAAAAGAACAGCATTCAAGGGACTGAAAATGAAATTGTGTAGAAAAGCAATAAAGAACAGCATTCAAAAGGGACTGAAAAGAACAATAAAGAAATCAAGGGGACTAAAAGAGAAACAGCATTCAAGGGGACTGAAAATGTTATTGTGTAGAAAGAGCAATAAAAGAACAGCATTCAAAGGGACTGAAAATGTTATTGAGTAGAAAACAACAATAAAAGAACAGCATTCAAGGGACTGAAAATGTTATTGAGTTAAAAGAGCAATAAAAAGAACAACATTCAAAGGGACTGAAAAAAGAAAGAGCAATAAAAGAACAGCATTCAAGGGGACTGAAAATGTTATTGTGTAGAAAAACAATAAAAGAACAGCATTCAAGGGGACTGAAAATGTTATTCTGTAGAAAGAACAATAAAAGAACAGCATTCAAAGGGGACTGAAAATGTTATTGGGTAGAAACAGCAATAAAAAGAACAGCATTCAAGGAGGGACTGAAAATGTTAGAGAAACAGCAATAAAAGAACAGCATTCAAAGGGGACTGAAAATGTTATTGTGTGAAAGAACAAAAAAAAAACAGCATGTAGAAAAAATAAAGGACTGAAAATGTTAAAGGGAGAAAGCGTAGAAGGAAGAGATTAGAGAAAGAGAGTGAAGAAGCACTAAAAGTAGAGAGGGAAAATATTGTGGAAAGAGCAATAAGAACAGCAGGGGAGAAAAGAATGCAGTAGAAAGAGAATAAAGGCCATTCAAAGGGACAGAAAAAGAAACAGGTGAAAGAGAAAGAGAGGAGGAAGAGAGTAGAGAAAGAGAGTAAAGAAGATAGTGAAAAGAGGGTAGAAAGAGAAATAAAAGAACAGCGTAGAGAGAATAGAGAAAAGAAAAAGGCCACTGTATAGACAGAGTGTGTAGAAACAATGTAGAGAAAGAGAGAAGGAAGAGAGTAGAGAAAGAGATTAAGAAGATAGTAAAGGAGGGGGAAGTGAGCAATAAAAGAACAGCATAGAGAGAATAGAGAAAGAGATTACAGCATTCAAGGGATGAAGACAGAGTAGAAACAGCAATAAGAGAAAGAGAGAAGGGGAAGAGAGTAGAGAAAGAGAGTAAGATAGGGACTGAGAGGGTGTAAGTGAACAATAAAGAACAGCATAGAGGGAATAGAGAAAAGAGTAAGGCAATTGTATAGACAGAGAGTAGAAACAGTGTAGAGAAAGAGAGAAAGGAAGAGAGTAGAGAAAGAGAGTAAGAAGATAGTCAAGAGAGGGTATGAAGTGCAGCAATAAGAACAGCATAGAGAGAATAGAGAAAGAGAGTAAGGCCATTGTATAGAAAGAGAGTAGAAACAGTGTAGAGAAAGAGAGAAGGAAGAGAGTAAAGAAAGAGAGTAAGAAGATAGTAGAGAGGGTAGGAAGTGAGTAGAAGGAGAGTAGAAGAAGAGATTAGGAAGAAAGTATAGAATGAGAGTAGGAAGTTTGTAGGAAGTGGGAATGGAAATGAAACGTGAGTAGTATTGCAAATCTTCCCCTGGTGGAAAATGGGTGATAAAGAGGATTATAAAAGAGAATAATAGGGTGTATGTTGCTAAATGTAATAGCGTTGATGAGGCATTGCGATCTTTACAGGCTGGCAACAGCGCTGTTGTTGATTCTTTGGTCTGAGATTGTCAACATCGAATCTTTCTGTAAGATTCTACTTCAAGAACAACGCATGATATTTTCGTTGTCAAGAACCAGCTATAGAGTTCCGAGTCCGTTCTTCGTAGCAAGTTGTTACTTGGGTTATCTAGTGTAATTATGGTGGAAAGAGAACCAATGGGTCAGGGTTCGAAGAATAAAATTTCAGTGCATTACAGTTGATTTAACGTCTCTATCGTAATATCTAGTCATTGATCGATGTATATATACCTATCTATCTCCTTATATATCTATCCGTATATGTTGGTTCGTAGGTACCTACGTGTATATTAATTAATCCCGATATCCTTCTTTTAATCTTTTTATGGCTGTTTTTCTATGCTAGGGCATCTATCTATCAATCCATCTATCTATCTATGGGGATAAGACTAGCTTAGTCGGAGACAGGAGCATAACTTACTATACTTATCAATAAACTAAGCATAGGTAACTAGTTAAACTTGTTAACCATTACGTTATGTATGTATAATTGGCCACTCATATTCGAAGATACCCATCTACTAGGGCGGCTATCCAATCCCTATTGCAGACGCTTCCTCAGACGCATTTATTTTTATTCAACACCCACAGAGCCCACCTGAGGTTTTTACAGCAACTATGCTGAGCAGACCTTAGTTACAGTTTCTGGGAAAGAGCGCGTTATCTTGCGTGATCAGCAATTTAAACAAGGACGGCACGCTCAAGCCATCGACCACGATGACTTGTGACTTCGGATTAGCAAAGCTGTCGTCGGCACCCAAGTGTTCCATCTATCCAATTTCACTCACAAGGGTTGGGTCAAACCGTGGTACGTTTTTTAGGCACTTTCTAAAGGTGCCACACGCTGAGATCGACACATCCCGTCCGCTAACATCAGGAAGTTTCCTTCCTGACAAATCGACCATGGTGAGATTCAGACCTGGGTCTCATGGCCAGAATGCCAACGTTCTAACCATAAAGCTCTTTATATATGTATATTTGCATTCAAAGCTTACCATAAACAATTTGACTGGGAGGTAGGTTCAAGTTTTACCATGACTGATGCGAGTGGGAGGTTCGAGTCTTACCAAGATCAATTTGACTGGACAGTTTAAGTTTCACCACGAGAAATTTGACTGGGTGTTTCAAGTCTTACCATGATCAATTTGACTGGGTGGTTCAAGTCTTACCATGATCAATTTGACTGGGTGGTTCAAGTTTTACCATAAGCAATTTGACTGCGTGGTTCAAGTCTTACCATGATCAATTTGACTGGGTGGTTCAAGTCTTACCATGATCAATTTGACTGGGTGGTTCAAGTTTTACCATGAGCAATTTGACTGGGTGGTTCAAGTCTTACCATGATCAATTTGACTGGGTGGTTCAAGTTTTACCATAAGCAATTTGACTGCGTGGTTCAAGTCTTACCATGATCAATTTGACTGGGTGGTTCAAGTTTTACCATGAACAATTTGACTGGGTGGTTCAAGTCTTATCATAAGCAATTTGACTGCGTGGTTCAAGTCTTACCATGATCAATTTAACTGGGGAGTGACTTCTTGATGTTACTGTGTTGTGGTGGAGATCCTTGTCTCCGACACTAATGGAAACCATACCGCGGCTTAACCAAAGTCTTTTGTGTTTTGTAGGCTATTGTTTACCTAATACAAAGCCCAATAGCCACTCAAAGTAGATAGTTACTAAATGAGGTTGTTTTATGATCTTAAGAATTGTCGAGTATGAGGATATTTAGGATAGATATCGATTGACTGTTGTGGTGGGAGAGGCATCCACCTCGTTAGTCCGTTCCACGAAGTAATGGCACTTGGGAAGAAGCTGTTCGATTGGAACTTCCTTCTCACCAATGGAATACGAAGGAGATGAAGATGATTAACCCTTGGCGGCTCTTAGCTCTGAAGCTCAAAACTAGTCGAATTAAGGAATGTAGCTCGTAAGAATTCTTTTCATGAAAATAGCGATATTGGGTAGAGGAAACTGTTCAGAAGTTAGCGTTGTTTGTGCTAGCACGAAGTCACAAGCCATCGTGACCGAGGGTTTGAGCATACTGTCCTTGTTCAAGTACTGATCACATCATATTATGCACTCTCTCCCAGAAACCGTAACTAAGGTCTGCAGTAGGTGCTGAGAAAACACAAGTTTGATTAACTCGCTACCCTAGCAGAAAGATTAGACAGGCATTATTATTCTTTATATATTGTATATGTCCAGGGCGCAGTGGATAAATTGCTGTCTAAATTACACAAAAATATCTTGAAATACTAAAGACTAAATTTATTCAATAGAATCGCCATTGACTTCAACCACGGTCTCTAGATGATTTCAGAATCTTCTGCAACTGTTCTGGACGGTCTCCTTGTTTAAGTTGATGAATGTTGTCATAATCCTTGCCTTTAGTTCATCTTTTGTGATACAAGGAGTTTTGTTGGTCTCTCTCTCGCAACTTCGCCCCACACATAATACTCAAGGGGGTTTCAGTCTGAGCAGTTAGGTGGCTAGATGTAAGGGGCGATGTGGTCGCAGAAATTGTCTGACAGCCATGACTGAGTTCTCCTGCTTGTGTGGCATGATGCAGAGTCCTGTTGCTAGACATAGGGTGTTTCGTCAGCCACCCTCTTGACCCTGGGCAGCACTACATCTTCAAGACATTTGATGTAGGCCTCTGTGTTGGGTCTGTGAGAAGATTAACGGAGACATAACAAAGCCATCAAAATTGATCACTCTAAACACTATGATGTTACTGGATATATCATCAAACTCTTTTCGAATCCTCTGAACTATCCTCAGATTGGCACCCAAACACTCTGAAATCTGCGTATTGAATCTTCCGGTGCAAATGGCAAGCAGTACAGCAAGTCGTTTTCAAATTTCTAGTGGAGTGAATTGCGTCATGGTGCTCTTTTGATCACAGATGGTGCCCAACTGACTCTACTAAATTGTACAGTCTACAAAAACAAAAAACAAAAAACCAAGAAAACAACACGCATGCGCAAAATTAAAATGGCGACAATTTACCCATCGCACCCTGTATGTATGTAGATCTTAAAATCGGTTAATTACCTATCCATCTACAGAATCAAATATCGAGGTCGCTTGGCAGTTAGCGTGTTTGATAGTATATAAAATGTATAAGAATATAATATGTATTCATATTTCAGCATGGAAATATTTATGGAAAAAATAAATTACTCAGCGTTAGTTAAATATTGGTTTACAAAAGAGGCTCGCATAGGGTTCAGAGGGATTATTTTGTCAGCCATGTTTTTTTATTAAAAAAAGTGCGTCTTATAAGATTCCAATGTGCTACTCTATTTTCATTTTCTTTTTTCTCCTAATTCGTTTTTTTTCTTTTTTGCGTTCATTTATTCTATTCTATATGCATGAATATGTCTTTTTGTTTTCAAAGCTGTTATATAAAACGCATGATTATTGCCAGCCGGTGTCTGTCTCGGCGTTTATATTTGGCGGCCTGCAAGCGCGAGTAAAAATTAAGGACGATTCATGCGCATGCGTAATTTGTGCGTTTTGTGCGCCTGCTTGTGTATATATGAGTGTGTCTGAAAGGAAAGAAGGAAAATAAAAGAAACTGGGTAGGGGAATGAGGATGATAAATATGTAATAACGTAATGAAAGATGGAGTATTGGTTCCGATGTGGCTACAGATCGGATGTTCCCGATTTTTTTTTCATTTTCTTTTCCGTTTCTTTTCTTTTTCTTTTTACACTGTTCAGTATCTTAAGGACATGTGTACTAGATTGAAAATAAAAAAAAATCTATGGTGGAAATATTGATTTTATACTCGTAATTCTAATAAAAGTAAACTATTGACTATCCAAAGCAAATAGATTTAACAACTGACCTACAATTAGCAGCCGACAGGATTCACAGATGTTAGCTGTAACTATGACATTTACTAACAAAATAATCATTATTAGAGCCTAGATAAAAGGAATTTTCATCTCTTATAAATATACAATTCAGAGCATACGGCTTTCTTTTGATAATTATATATATTTATACTAAACCTATTTTGTCGCTAACGCTTTCCTTAATTCCTGACCAATGACAATCTCTTCCTTTCAAAATTTCAATTCCTTACTGCAATATAAACAATTTTCAATACATTCCAAAAGTAAAATCGGGCTATTCGACGTGGTGCAATGATTAGCAAACTTGTCTCGATATATTAATTACGAGTGAACAGTGGTTGCCATATACTTTAGATCAGAGTAACTTAATTGGCAACGAACTTGCATTACACATACAATAGATGCTGAAAGGTTCACAGTTTGTTTTCAATTTGCAAAATCTGACCACAAACGTAAGAATGGTTTTTGAAATCCCATCTTAGTCGGTTCTATAACATGTTGACATCCCTTTTTTTAATAACTCTAATTGATAAATAGATTTTGCGTAAATGGGGCACCTCGAGGCGGTGTAACGGTTAGCAGGCTTGTCTCGCTAGCACATTTACGACTGAATAGTGAGTTCGTTCCTGACTGGGCGCCCTATAATTTCGGTCTTGTGACACATCTAAGCTACGCTTGGGAAATTACTAGATTTTGCTTTAATCCCTGACCACTGGCTCACCTTTTTTTTTCACGATTTACAATGTATATCTATAGCAAGTTAATTTAAATAATCTGATAAAATAATGTTTTTTTTTTGTAGTAAAATCCTGACATATACATAAAAAATACAACCTTTGATTGTAGAGATCTATTAAAAAAAACATTTCGCTTATTTAATTCTTTTCGTTCCTTCCATCTGCTTCCTCCCACAGATCCCGTCCTGGGAATGACGATAGACTACATCCGCGTCCTGGGTAAGACGATAAACTACGTCCAGCAGTAAGGCCTCTGATCCGGAGGTTTTGAGGAGCGTTGAACCACCACTTAATTGCTGGCGTTTCCTGGTCCACCCTGACCTGGGGTGGTAGCACCTGTTAAGGTCCCAGCTATGGGCAAATAGTTGACCCCACAACCTGACTCAAAACACTATGAAAGTAAATATAGATTTTAATACCAGAAATACTTTTAAAAAATTTAGAATCAGCAATAAATATTTGACAAAAGAAAATATTACCAGAAATAAAAATCTAGTCAGCGTTAAATAACCCATGGAGTTTAATATGCTACAAAAGAAAACACAGCAAACTATACATTTTAAAAAAATATTACCAGCTATATATTTCTGAAAAAATTACCAGATATACATTTTTGAAAAAAAAAAAAAAGAAATTTTGTCGGCATTAAATAACCCATTGTGGTTGATATGCCGTAAACCAAACCAAACCAAACCAAACCAAACCTTATGTCATAGACCACGTTTCTGTCATCCACTTGATTGACAATTGTCAGGTATGTCAGGTTTAAATTGTCCCTCTTGCTCTTTATTTGACCAATAAATGAGTATCAAATCAGGCCCTCCTTCAATTATGTGTCAAAGAAACTTCAGCTGCCTCTTCAATGTCAAACATAAACTCCTCAAATTTGTATCCTCTCCAAATCAACAAAACCGTTGCTCACACATGCTCGGTTCATGATATCCATTAGCATCCTTCTGTAGAACAACATCTCCGTCGCCTCGAGTTCATCATCTTTGAAAATTCAAAATTCATTTGCTGCCGCGCTATAATCAAAAATGTCACGTAACTGCTCAGTATTCTTCGTTAGAGAAAGGGGAGAGCCATGATCGCCTACGTCCTGAAAGGACATGGCATATAAAAAGAAAGACATTCTTTTCGTAGTTGTGGTGAAACTTTTCTTTAGGTTTTTACCACTTTCGCTTAATTCTTATTTAAGATTGTACCAAAATTTCAAGTGATTAAATTAGAAACTCATCAACTTAGATTAAAGGCAACAAAAGTATGAGGTACAAAAAATATCAAGCTGGAAAACTTATCCAATGGGTGGATATTCCAGCTAGTAAAAAAACCAACATTTTCCTTTTTTTATTTTTTTGTTCTAATAGCATTTATATATTGTTACACTTTCTCACTAAGGATTATAAGGAAGCAATCCAGAAACCTATTCAGAAAATGAAAAAAAATTCTATGCAGAAAAATGATTTGGCATTTTAAATTTTTTTTTTAGGTTTTACCATTTTCATAAATTCTTATTGTAACATTCAATGCAATTGTTGTCCCAGAAACTGACAACTTAGATTAAAATAT